TATTTGAATATTGCTGTCCAGGATCAACCGGGGGCGTGCCATCTGCACGCTCGTCGGACTCGGGCCTCCTCGCGCGGATACCGATCCGGGACTTGATGAGCTTCGCTCCACCAGTGACGACCGGATATTGCAGGGCTTGAGAGATAAAGGCAGGCCCGCGACGGTGGAAAGTCTCGAACGATCTCGTAGACTGTCGTAGAGGGGCCAGACGGAACGGGCGGGAGAAAGAAAGGAAAGGAACACGCGCGCCGAGATCATCCTTAAAGTAATCGTTGGCTCTTCCGAAGATATTCGTCGACAGATGAGAATGGGATGACGACGACGGTGAGAGGTGCAAACGACGACGACGGTGGAAAACCGAGGCATGCCGGGGACTCGATTAAATGATTAAACGAGCCCCGCGGCGCCATATTAAACTCGCCGTTATTCTCGCCGCTCCTTCTCGGTAGTCGTTTCAACCCTGCGACGACAACGACGACGACGACGAGAAACGACAGTTCTCTCCCTCGTCGCCGCGTCGCGGCTCCTTCCATTTTTCCTCCTCATTCTTCGTGCCTTTCTCGCATCCCTCCCCTAACAATGTCATTGTCCATTATCGCGGCACAATCGAGGAAGAACAAAAACAGATTTCGATTATATTCGATTGCAATGAATTCTGATGAACTGGTGTTCTTTTCCGTGGCGGGAAAGAGAAAGGGGGGAGGGGACGTAAAAAGACGTCCCTCATAAATCTCACGAAAGCGCGCTATATCGCTTCGCGTCTGCACCGGCGGTATCTCGAGAGGAGATACGCCCGATTCGTGGAATACGTTATTCAAGTGCTTTTAAATAGGAAAAATAATATATGAATATGGCGAATGCATGCGAGATGTAGAATCTAGAATAAAGTAACGCGTGATATAACGTTTTATCGTTTCAAAATAGCAACGATTTAACTTAATTAAAGAGATAATGTGTCATACGTATTTTGATGATTATTTTAATTTTACATTCGTGTCACTGCTCTTGATATTATTGTATCGCCGATAATCATTATGTACACAGGATTGATATGATTTTATTACGGTTATAATATCCCGTAATAAAATATTCATCGTTAAAATTCCGCGATACGTAAAATTTCATTTCGTTTGTGCGCGCGGACTGGGGGAAACATCGTCGCGCGAGAGCTGGATTTTGAACAACCTGGAATAAAGTGTCTCAAACAGCCTTTGAAATAATTACGCGGATGGCGCGACGACGACGACGACGACGCGACGCTACGGTGCGACTATCAGCGTCGGGCATAGATTTTCGAGTTGGGACTCGATTAGATCATTTAGATCGTTTTAACGCCAACGGAAGAAGCGGATCGGCTTTTTGCGGAGGTTCGGATATAGCCGTTGAAGCGTCGCGGCCGGAGATGCATTTGCATATAAACGAGAATTCACTGGCACGGCAACGCCGAAACGCGCCATTTTTATTATTATACCAATTAGGTCGTCACGTTGCGCGTACTACAAATTTCCACCGGTTATTTTCTTCTTTTTTCTCCCTTCCTTCTACTCTCTCTCTCTCTCTCTCTCTTTTTCTCTCGCGCCGAGAGATGCAGCCGCCGGATGTGCAGCTCCCGTCTTTGTCGGATCACCTGCAAGCTGCAAGATCAACGCGATGATCCTGCGCGTGCAGATCGAATTTCGGAGAGGCCTGCTGCCCATCTTTTTTTTTCGGAGCACGGCTATCGATTCGGCAGGCGGCACTCGGACCTCGCGATTAAATGGCACCCGCGGAACATTTTTTTTTCCACCATCGAACGAGTCGTCTCATACAGAGGGATTGAAAGGCGCCCCTTCCCTCTCGGCTGCCTCCTCCTGCCGTACCTCTCGCCGTTGTTCGACACGCAGTTATCCGTATTTTATGGAATGGCTCTCTTTCTCTTCGACGACCCTCGTTTCCCCCTCGCTTTCATAAATCATTTACGTCGCAAAGGCAACGCGTCTGACGTTCGATTGCAATTTTCGCGTACCGCGCCGCGTCGTTAAAGTCGATTTATCCTCTCGTTAAAAACGGCGGGCGTAGCGCAGGGAGAGTAATTAACCGGGCGATAATGTGACTCATTAATTAAAGTTTCCGCGCGTTGACGTTAACGTTACGACGAAATTCGATGAAACAGTAAGGAGAATCCCGTTCGCGGGCCGAGCGTTTTGTTTGCGACCTCACCGTGGCACTCCGAGATTCTTCCCCCCCCCTCCCCCCCGATTGCCATTTGAAACGTTTCCAGTTTTCAATATCAAATCGATCTCGGCGGGCGTAATTGCCAATCTCCGTCGCGCAGTTAGCGGAAGACGGGGACACGTCCTGCTCCGGAAGGCTCGGTTCGCGGGGAAGCCGATCGAAGATGCGTCCGTCGCCGCGCGCCACCCGAGATTCAACAACGCCCGGGCCCTTCCGGCTCGGTGACGTTTGACAGCTCGTTAGCTCGTTTCCCTGACGAGGGAAATCGCGGTCACGGCTGTCCATTGTTCTCGTCCGGACTTCGGCGGACGCGCGATTTTCTACGCGCATACATATTTCGGAAATCGATCCTTCTCTTTCTGTCTCTCCTTTTTCAATCTCTCTCCTTCTCTCTTTATCCATCTCTCTCTCTCTCTCTTCTTTCTCCTTTCTTCTCCTTCTGCACCCATCATCTGGCGGTGCAGAAACGAGTCTCTCCTTTGTGGCCAGGTTGTTCTGGCGGATTGCCAGGATTAATTATGGTACTCGGATGGCCCGCTCGCGCGGACTACCATGCTCTAGCTCAGCTTTCAATTTGCAATCCCGCGTATCGACATTCTCGAGGATTTTTTTTCCGCGCTTTTACTTTCGTGAAATCTCAAGTAGCACGCGCGACTGAATAAATTTCTAATGGAATTTATATCGTGGAGGGAAGGAAATTTAATTGACTGAATATTGAATGTCAGAATTATTAAATTGAAATTAATTAAGAGCTAATTGACTCTAATTGATATCTGTGAACATCTATTTATAAAAACCTTTATCTTTCCATACTTATAAGTACGTTTAATATATTTATATAGAGATAATCTTTTTATTTGTAAATTTTATAGAGCTTCGAGGAAATAAGCTTTTAGATGCTACAACAATTCTATTGTCATATTATTTTCGAGAAACGGGATTGTTTTATTAAATGTCAATTGTTTTATTAAATGAAAATCGATCCTTTTCTCTTGCTAATAAAAGTTGCAACCGCGGTCAAAGAAAATCCAACCGTAAATTTTCAACAATACAATTTGTTACGGTATATATTCGATATGAGATATATATATATATTTTTTTACACATATATATATTTTTTATACATATATGTATATATTTTTAGGGATTCGCATTGAAATCAACTTGAAAGCGCGATAACATTTACGGGCGCGTTTTATTTAATGTATGACGTTATAAAAATATATGGAAATATTTTAAAAACACCGTATACTCGCTGTAACGTATTATAGCTAAACCATGACAGACAACCGCGATGCATTTACAGCTCATCCATAATCGAATTCCACGTATGGACGCAAACGAATAATTATGTACATGTTTAACGGAATCGCCCATGTTTTATGTAGCCGTATTACCAGCAGTATGTTAATACCGCGGGCGTTTTTCTCGGCACGGATGTACGGGCGTTAATAAAATCGGCAGCTCGTCGACTCGTCGCAGCCGTTGATTTTTTTGATTGCGACGATTATTATCATTTTTTTTCTGGAAAAAAGCGATAGCGCGCATAACCGATGGAGATAAATCTCGAAAGCGAGATAAATGCGATGGCACAGTGAGTGCGTGGCAGCGAAGAGAACAGGCATCGGTATTCCGATAGCCGTCCGAAGGAGAAGGCAGGTGTTCGTCGGAGGCAGCTGCAATCACGACCACCATCTGCTGCGGTAATGCACGCCCGTTCGGGGTCTTGAAGCAAAGCAAGAGGCCCCGAGAGCCCCGCCAATTAGGCCCAGCCGAAACACGTGCCCGGTTCGGATGAACCGATTTCAAGGAGAGACGTGATTCTCCTTGAAAACCGTCAGCGCTCTCTCTTCCTCTCTCTCTCTCTCTCTCTCTCTCTTCCCGCTCCGTTTTTGCTCTCCTCTTTTTCGTTCTTTTTCCACTCCCCTCTAATTTTTTTTCTCGCTCTTCTTGCTTGGCTGCGCGCACGCCCGTCGCACCTTCGCGTCATCTTTCAACAACAACTTGTTGAGCAACAGTTGGTCGGCACGAGACAAGGAATATGCGCGGCTACCGATTAAAATAAGAACAAAAGAGAATAAAGACCTGGCTTGCGAATAGCCCCACCGCGTGAAAATTGCAAGCAAGATTATTAGGTAGAAATCTACTGTCTACGTTGGAATTTACTTCAGAATTTTGTTTTATCTTATTGCAAATTTTTGGCATATGTAAAATTCATACAATTATTTGCGATTAAATATAATACGACATAACTTTATAATATACTCTTTAATAATCTATATCTCTTTTCTCATATATAAATTTTTATATACTTTACAATTTATATACATTTTCGATTTTCCTTCTTAAACAAATTAATTTTTATGTAAATGAATGCTATTTCTCAAATAGTATAGTTCATCTAAAATGATTTTTTTAGTATAACATAATAATTATATCAACTAAAAATAAAACTTAAAGATACAAGATACTACAGGTGACATCTTGTGGTAAATGTGCAAGTTTCTAGCAGGAAATATCAAAAAAGAAAATTTAAAAAAAATTTTAATTTAAATCTCTACTTATTTTTTATAAACATTGTCTCTAAAATATAACTAAAATGATTGTCAAATGTACAATTATCTCATTAAAAATGTATTAATATTTAAAAATTCCACATTACGCTCATCTTAGAAAAAAGTATAAATTGTGTAATTAATAATTTATAGTAAATTTATATTTTAGTTTTATTGTTCTTAATATCCATATTTGTTAAATAGAAAAGGGAAATCAGGACATCGACAGAATATTTTGCCCAATATTTTAATGCAAAAACTAAAAACTTGAGAATATACATTACTAAATATTTGAGAGTATACATTATCTATTTTAAAGAATATACATACACAAAAAAATACATCTTGTAAAAAGACAATATTGCAATATTTTTTAACTTAAGTGTATGTGAATCGGTGCTGCCCCCTGTACCGTTATTACAGAACTTGAATCACAATACTACAGGCAATTCGATATTGAACGGTAAGAATAAAACAGCAAATAAAAAATTGATACTTAGACAGAAAGTCTTTTTAATATAAACTTTCAATCTGTTCAATATTAAAGAAATAATTTTGTATAATTCATCAAATATCACAAACTAAATAGAACTAGGATATATATTAAGAAACTAAATCTTAAATGAGTAAAATTTTATTAATAACGACCGGATCGGCCATCTCTGCCCTTTTCGTCTCTTCCCTTACGTCGCTCTTTCGATCGGGATCTTCTATCGCGTGATCGGGATCTCTTCCTGCGGTCGCGACCTCGCGATCTCGATCGCGATCTCGATCGGCCCTTGCCCTTCTTCCGGCTGTACAAGTATCGGCGGAGCTCCCGGGAGATGGGCTTCAAGTGCATGAAGTTACAAAATCCGGAGCGCGTGCACTCGCTAAACGTATACAATTCACGTATACAATTTCGTGCCTATTTACTATGGTTCTGTAAATCGCGTTAGTTTACAAAATTACCCCATTTCATATTGGCGACAGCAGGCCTCACGGAAATCGGTGACGGGCGAGAGCTCGGCGTAAACCGGTCGCCCGCCGAACCAACGGTTGTTCAAATCGTTGACCGCCTTCTCAGCGTCTTCCTCCCTGCGGAATTTAATGTAAACGTTTCCGACCAAGTGATCGCCTAGATTGTCGCACACGTTCATCTCTTCAATCTCGCCGTACTTGTCCTCACACTCGATGAAAACGTCCTCGAAAAAATTGTCATAATGCTCTTGCATCTCTTCGTCAGATACGTTTGCAACCACTGTCGTAAAATACGTTCCATACGTAATGCTCTTTTTTTTTTGTATATTACATAATACTCCCATTAAGGTTCAATACTTACAGTGCGATCCGTCTGCACTTTTTGCAGAATTCTGAGGGTTTACATAAAGATTCTGCAGTAGACACGTCTGAAGAACACATAACTTGCATAAACGAGATATCGCGTGTGATGCGATAAAATTAAATTCTATCAGGTTCTTGGCTTCATTTAGATAATTAATTTGTGTTAAAATTCAATGTTTCAAGACAAAAATACTAGTATAAATTCTAATGCGCTAAAACAATCGCAGTCGTTGCGGCATACTTTATTGCTAGCCGCACGAAAAAAGCTTTGCAATTTTAATGATAAGTTACAAATATGTGAGTTTATAAAAAGCACTACGGATATAAACACTGCGATATGCAAATTATTATAGACGAAGATGATTAAGCAAAAATATCTTACCTGACTGAAGGTTGGCTTGTTGTGAATTCGCGAGCATCGATCTCCATGTCGACAGGCGCCTATCTTGAAATAAAAGGAGCAATTGACTCTGCAAGAGAAAAATGAACGACGAGATTTACACATTATCACGGACTCGTAACCTAACCTATTTTATACGGAGCAACGATACAAAAATATATAATTTGACGCTTACTTGTCCTTCTCAGTCCCGAAAATGGACGCCAGATATTCGGCCATGGCTCGAAAATCTTCTGACTCGAGCGTGTCACAATTACATCAAGAACAAACAGATCTTTTCGCTATTAAAAATCCGGCAACGCACCGAGTACAACCGCGACCATGAACGTATCGAGACACTGCTTTACCGACGGGGCATCGTCAATAGCAGCGAATTGCGCGCACGCGCGCGTAATTTGCTTAATAATTAATCATAACTTTTCATAAAAAAAAGGTTATTATTAAGAGTTAAAAAATTATTTGAACTGATTATTTTATTCTGACAAAATATATCTACTCTTCAACATGCGATTGCAATGTATGTACGTACAGAAGATTAAAAAACTTTTACAAATATACAATAATATTTTTCATAACATTAATCGCAAATATTGAGCAGTATTTTTCATAATGTTAATCGTATGTACAATAGATACATAATTCTCTAGTTTTGTAAACTAATTTCTAACTTAAGAGGGGTTTCGCCTTTGCCGGCCGTAAAATTAGTCCTTTTTCATGAATTTTTTAAAGAAAATATATTATATATAGTAAAACGTGGGTTATTGCATAAACTTATCCCAATTAGTGGCAATTGAATGTGGCATATTTTTCGAGCTAACGGAAGTAATTACGAAAAAACGAATTAAGATATTAACTTGCTTCTTTTTTCCTCTTGATTCTAATACTTCAACGCATGGCGTGAACTAAAATAATGTCAATTACCTGAAATTTGTAAAAATAGTAGCATTTAAAAAAAAGATTTGTTTGCTCTAAAAATTTTTCAAATTTGTATTAATAACAAATTGAATGTTTGTTGTAAAATCATGATTTTAGTTCACACCATGCGTTAAAGTATTAAGATCAAGAAAAAAAAGAATCAAGTCGATATTTTAATTCGTTTTTTCATAATTACTTCCATCAGCTCGAAAAACATGCCACATTCAATCGCCACTTAAAGGCATTAAAATACATTTTTATGTAAATAAAAAATATATTTTTTTGCTGATTAAATAATATAAGTTTATGCAAAAACTCGCGTTTTACTGTATATAATAAATTTCCTTAAAAAAATTCATGAAAAAGGACTAATTTTATGGCCGGCAACAGTAAAACTCCCCTTAAATCTCGCGGTAGTTATAATTAAATTTTTAATTTAATTTTTTTACTAGATTTTCTTCAAAGTCATATTGTCTACATTTATTATAAATGTTTCGGTATTACACCACTGTTCTCCATTTGTTCCTTCAGACGGAATTTCTGAATTTTTCCGGTAGTAGTCTTTGGATATTCATTTACGAACTCTACGTAACGCGGTATTTTAAAGTGCGCTATTTTGCCTCTACAATAGTCCGTTAGCTCGTTCTTCGTCATCGTCGCGCCGTTGCGTAGTTGAATACACGCACAAATCTCTTCTCCGTAGACTTCGTCATATGCCCCTATAACTTGCGCCTGCATTACTTTGGGATGGGTCACCAGGAAGTCCTCGATTTCCTGCAGAAAAATGCAAAGTGAGTGAAACTTTTAAATTGCGTTAATTCACTGTTTCGAGAAAGTAAGTCTCAAGTTTACGAATATTTAAATTATTCGGAATAATAATAATTAATAGCACCAAAATCTCTCTTTAAGATAATTTACTACAAAATTTAAACACTTCTATTTTTGAAAACAACCTGTAAAATATGTCGTTTTTTATTTTTTAATATTTTTTTCAATCGACTCTTTTTCTTCTACACCGAAAAATAAGATGTATTAACTAGTGAGGGAGTAATACAAATCGTACACCGTTAATCATGATATTCACCTTAGGGAAAATATTTTCGCCTCCCCGAATAAGCATATCTTTGAGCCTGCCGACTATAGTAGCGTATCCGTTTTCCTGCAAGACAAATTGATCACCCGTTTTCAACCAGCCGTCCTCCGTCATCGTCTTCCTCGTGTTCTCTTCGTCGTCCCAATAGCGCATCATTGTACTGTACGCGCGAATCCAAAGTTCGCCAGTTTTTCCAAAGGGGACAGGCAAACCGTTTTGATCGACGATCTAGTCGGCAAAGATATACGTCAAAATATATATATACAATAAAATTAAAGTCGAAATTTGAGGAAATTATTTTCAGACTAAAGAATTGACGTATACCATCGCTTCAGTATGATTCGACAAATAACCGACGGTGGTCTCCGAAAGATGCCTATCCTCTCCACGTATCGATTGAAATACAATAGCTGTTGTTTCTGTGAGGCCGTATATGCTCTGTAATGTGTGAAAACTTTAATTCATTAAAACAAGAATATATAATAAGTATAATATTCTGTATAAATATAAGTATATAACATATCTATATAAATATATTGGAATTGTTTTCTAACATTTACAATTCTCTTCAAGATCATTGCGATTTTTATTTCATTTTTTGATTAATAATTTGCTGAAGCTGAAGAGAGTCAGAACTTCGACTTACCGTCATGTCGTTGAAACCCAGCAAGTCTCGTATTCGCTTAAACAGTTCAGAAGACGCGGGTGCACCACCGGTAATTCCTGCCTGAAGACTCGCCGTCGGTAGTTGCAACCGTTGTTGTGCCTCGAGTAAGTTTACCTGTAGTGAAATTACACCTAAATAAAATTCGCCTTGATCCAAATATTAATTTTCTATAAATTTCTGAAAAAATGAGAATTGCTGAAGAAATAAATTCTTTAAATGTTATTATATATACGAGTTTGTAACAACCTGCGACACTGAATAAGTAAAAAATATAAGATATAATATGCCTCTTATTTATTACACAGTTTCTCAGAAAGATGTCTTTACGTATGAAAACAGTGTGCGTCTATGTGCCCATAAAATATTGAACGTGCATAAACGCGGGTAGAGTTTCTCATAACAATTAGCTGAAACACCGTCGTTATTAAGTTCTAACGTCAGAAGCACATCAAGCGATTGCTTACTGTTTTAAGAGATCGGTTAAAATGATTAACTACAAATATCTTGCACATTGATCGCGGGTCGTAAAGCATTAGTATGTATAAATCAAAATAATTATGACATCACTGATACGTGCCTTCAATAGTTAATCATTTTAATTGATGTTTTGATCACAGTAAGATATTAGAATCGCCAATACACTGATATGCTGATGTTAAAATAGTAATAAATGATAAATTGTTTTTAATTAATCAAGATACTCACATTATTACGATATTCAGAATGATTTTTATTACAGAAAACTAACTATGCAACTAAGAAAAAAATGATCAAAAAATTATATTTTTTACTTGTTTTTTTTTATGTGTATAAACTATAAATAATCTTTTAGCTAATTTTACTCTAAATTATACTAGTTCTGTATAAGAGATAACGCCATTTTATCAATTTAAATAATATTATAATGACTAATAACATTAAACAAACTTTAAATTTCATATTTGGAGTCTTACTTGTGAATGAATAAAGAATGGTCAGTTTAATACAAATTATTAAATGCAAAGATAATTTTACTTGCTATCAATATAATACGGATATACTAAAAATAGAAATTAGAAATTCGAAGAAAAAACCGTTTTGTGCGAGACCAATATAACAAGAGCGGGATTTATTCATGAATCATACAAGTTTCATCGATTTGGAATTCCACCCAGGAAGCATGACCAGCGATTACTTATCGCGCACTCCTACCGACTCCCCGCTAACTTTCGATCTTATTAGCAATTAGCCAATAACACATCGTTACAAGTGTTTTTTTCTTATCGTCATATTTGTATAAATACATTAAATGTATGCGCACAATATGTATGACGGCTTATCGCAAAGTAATCTATATCGAACAGAAATTTTTCAAGCAATCTGGCATGCATTTATTTCGTCCTTGCTCACCCACATAGTTGGCGTTCCGTATGTAATGGTACACTTTTCTTGCGCTACCGCCTCCAAGGTTTTCACCGGATCGAAGGAGCGTCCTTCCAAGACGAGGGTATTCCCCATGTTAAAGACAAGCAATTGACCCATTGACATGCCGAACGCGTGGTAAAGCGGCATGTTTAAACATATTTTATCCTCAATAGTTATCTTCACCCTTCTCGCAGACTGCCAATGCAAAAATAAGACGACTTGTGTAATTTATTTCTTAAAGTATAAAGCACAGTAGGCACTTTACCTCAACTTGGGCCAAACGTGAAGCATAAAAGAATTTCGTTAGTTTCAAAGAAATCGCTTTAAATTGTTATCCTATCGCTGCTGTCGTTTATGAGTTAAAAATATAAATATAATTTCTTAATTGTTCAATTAATTCTGCAAACGAGTTATACGATGCAATTGTCTAATAAATCAATGACTTTTTTGCTCGAACGTCTCACCTCCATGCTGTTGTTTACGAGACTTCTGTGCGAGAGAAGCGTGGCTTTGGCCTTTCCGGTGGAACCGGACGTGAACTGTATGTTACATCCGTCATAGCACGATATTGTGTCCTGTTCGGCGGCGATTGCGTCCACTTCCGCTTTCGTTGCCGAAACTTCGACGTCGGCGAAGCGATGCGTACCGCTGTAAATTGAACGTATTCGCTGAGTATTCGCTTGCATTCGCTCAATGACACGTTGTTTGCGAGCGCGAATGGATAGACCTCGGTGAAGCTATTAACCTAATTGCATCCATGATTCTTCCATACGGCACGGTTATTAATCAAATCGGTTGATCTCGGTAAAAGTTCGAGGTTCTGTAGCGCCACGCTCTAACTAAAAGAAAACACACGATACGCGAGATCGCGCATCGGCGGAGTGCAACGGCGTACGTGGTATTACGAGGAGGACGAAAATCTATAATGGAAAAAATGAAAACGGTTTCGAGGAAACGAGATGCTTGAAACGAGATATCGCTGGTGAACGCTTTCCTCGGCATTGAAACTGTTTCGTTTTAAACACCGTCACCTTTCCCAGTATTTCAAGTCGTTCAATCTTTGTCTTCTATTCGGCGTCAGATCGATACGCTGTTCTCATGTCATGAAACCGAACGCTTGTACCTTGGCCATTTACCAAGAAGTATATTTAAACTCTGTTCTGAGAGAGACATTTTGACTCTACTAACTATCTATATTGTAATAAGATTCAAATATTATACGCACAGTAGAGTAATTTTTGATTAATATATTAAAACGTACATATAAAAATGTCTTTAATTATTACGTATTAATTAAATATAGCTAAACCTGCTAAACTTTACGTTTAATTTTATATTCAATATGTTTTTTGTTATATAATAAAAAATTTGAAGACCTATACTTGCAGTTTCAACAAAGAACGATAAACACGGACCAATTTGTTCAGAATCTAATGGACATCATAAGTTGTATAGAAACTAACATTAACAAAAATACAAGCAGCACGAGATACACAAGCGTCTTGATACAATAATCACGTGTTCTTAATCCATTTCGTAAAGTCGAGCAAAAGATTTCTGTCAGTCAAAGTGCGAGGACTCACGCGATATTCATGGATGAGTGAAGCGATCGCGTTCTGGTGTGTGTGAACATAAAAGCTCACGAAAGATCGTCTACACAAATTCACATAACCATTTGAAAAAACAAACAAAGTCGTAAAAACAATAATTTCATTAAAATTTCGCGTCATTTAAATTCTCTATTAGCGTATGTTAGTTATTGACTTTAAATAAGCGGCTGTTAACGAAGATGGGAGAGAGTATTCTTTGAAAAAAATTGCTTCTCACCGAGAGTGCCACAAATTATTTATGAGAAAAATGGCCGATTTATAAATATAACAACATTTAATGTTAAAGTATCTCTACACGCTACGCTATATTCTGAGAACGCATGATAATGACGCTCAAATGTGATAAGTTTTTTGTTTAAAATCTCTCTTACGTAACATAATCGGGCGAATAAATGATGATATGCTCCAAAGTGGGACACACTTCCTTGGCGGCAAACAACATCTTCGGATAATTCTGCGTTTTAAATGTCTCGGGCGAGACAGTCGCCTTTACGCCAACTTTTTGCAAACAATACACCAATTCGTTCTGCTGATAAGCGGGATTGATCGCGACGACGATTAATCCCACCCTCGACGCGGCCAGGAAAGTTATAAACCATTCCAGATCGTTCGGGCCCCAAAGACCCAGCCGATCGCCCTTTTTCAGGCCCATCCTCTTGAGACCCGCGGCCACCGAGTCGACCCGCCGAAGGAGCTGGGTGAACGTTAAACGAACATTTTGAGGAATCGAAACAATGCAAGTCCGATCGGGCCACGTCGCAACTGCCTCGCTTAACAACTGTCCGACGGTTTTGTCCATTAGAGGAAATTCGCCGGGATTGTACATATGAGCGGCTTTGATTGCATGAGAAAACTTGACCTTCCCTTGGATAGTCGACCTTCGAAGCTGACATCGTTCTGCAATTAATCGCAATATTAAAACAGATCACTGATCAAGTTTTGTTCATAGTTTTAGGTTTGGAGTCGATTTTATAACATCTCTAATCTTTCGATAACTAAATTTCTCTCATATTAAAATGCTGTTAAAATAATGTAAACGCCGATAGCAATTTCCGAACATGGTCGAAGAAATAATATTGTCATCTATTCGCATCTCAAAGAAATAATTCGTGATATTTTATTATTTCAAGTTCAAATTATACCAATATCAACATTATCGAAAATTATCTCTAATACAGATAAGGGAAGATTGTTCAAATATGGAAACTATCAATCGATACAGCGTCCTTCAGTGTAATACAATTCAAATGTTAAATTTTGCACTTGTTCAAATTTATTATACCGTATTGAATCTCAAAGTTCATATAATTAATTTTATTGTAACTTTTCTTCACTTACCTTTAAAATTAGGATGCAACATAGAAAAACATCGTAAATGGTTTTGATGATTTAAAATTCCGGACGCGATGTATCGCGAAACCGTCTTGAATGAAGAAAGCATCTTTCTAAAAGAAAGAAAAACCGGTCAGACTTGTGTCGCGTAAGCAAGCGAGACGTTTACTAAACTTTACGTCAACTTATAGGCTCTAGTATAGGAGTAAAATCCTTATCTTGTATCCGTAACGATAATATCTGAATGCTTAATCATCCCTCTTAAAGGTAATTATAATATGTGTGTCACACGTTCCTGATTAATAACGATTAACAAGAATAGATAATCCATCGTTTCCGTAGTGTCAAGTTCATTCAAAATAGTTCGAGATAACAAGATCAGTAAATACATTTTTTTAAATGTACTTTCTGTAATTTAATTTTTAAAAATGTTTAAAATGTCAGACATTTGTACAGAGATAAACTTTTCTTTTAAAAAAATACCACACAAAATTCTCTCATTTACTATAAATACACGCATTATAAAATTTATTCATTTACTATAAAAGCGTCTGTCTGTTATAATTGAACAAGTATCTAATTTATTACAATATAAATATAGGAAATATAGCAAATATAACTTGTAAATTCGAAAATGATAAGATTGCGAGATCGTATGTTTATTATGTTTGTTTTGATGTCATGCAAGCCTTGAAGAAAAAACGTTCTTATGGATATAATCCCAGTAAACACGAAATATAATTGCGGTATAATATATTGTACAACATATTTACATATATACATATACATATATACGTATACATGTTATATAGAAGGTTTATCTACATATATTTGCTAGGATGTATCAAATACCTTTTATAGAAATAGAAAGTATTTCTTAATACCTTATTAATATTGATTTTTGAACAAACGTTTACTGTCTATTTATAATTTTTTTGTTCATTTTGATGAACAAGACAATGCTCTACATGTAGAAAGTTTGTATTATGAAATTTTAAACACACTGCAGTATGTATATAAGATCGGAAGAGCACACGTCTGAACTCCAGTCACTTAGGCA